TCGAACTCCTGCATCCTGTGTTGGGGAGGCAGGCCTCGCTTGAAGCTGCAGCTCTGCCTCCGTTTCCATCTTCCTGCTAACACATATCCTGGGATGGCTCAAGGGTTTGGGGTTCAGCTACCGACACAGCTGATCAGATGGAGTTCTGGGTTCCCAGCCTGAACCTGCCACGGCCCTGGCTTGCACTTGCATCAGAAGTGAACCTGTGGATGAAGACCTGACTCACAAAAGCAGGACCCTTGGCAAGATAGACCCGGAGCTTGTCACACAACAGCAGGGTGGAGGTTCGACACGGCAGGGAGGGGCAGTGAGAACCCAAGAGAAGCAAGGTGGGCACAGCCTAGACCTCGGCCTCTGTCTGAATAGCCTGGAACTTGGGATAGCTTGGGAGCTGGCAGCAGCCGGGCACCATGACTGCTGGCACTGTACATGGAGCGTCCCCTCCAAGCACACTGTGTAGGGAGGCTATGGGGAGGGCCCTGGACACTGCACGTTCCCCGTGACCTGCGCTGTCCCAGCTCCGGCCAAGCATGGACACATACCATCTCTCGCTACACCTGTGGCAGCCGTGACTCGGAGCACACACGGCCTGAGCAGCACCCCGCAAAGGCACAGCAGAGGCCTCCTGGGCTTGCTGGGCTCAGGGTCGGTCCCCATTTCAGCATGGTTGGATGGGCCTGCAGCAGCACCCAAACTTCCCACTCAGAAAGGGTTAGACACGTTGGGACGTGAAAGGCCTGGGGTGCAGTCAGCGGCTCTCCAGGCCAGGCAAGGGCAAATCCCACAGCCAGCAGGGCCAGCGATGCAGAGGGCCCACCGACATGGACGCCCCTCATCTCCTAATAACTGCTAGAACGCGGAGTGCTTCCCCTGACACAGAACACCAGCCACGGGCAGCGGACTCGCAGGTACTGCGCATTAGTCCCTTATGAGAGGAAATCAGAGTCCACAGAGGACAGGAGGAAGGCCACTTGGTCACCAAGGCGGCCTCTGAGGAGGCTGCACGCCCCACGGTGCTTCACCAAGGCGTGCTGTAACTGCTCTGTGTGCGGTACTCCCCAGATGCCCATCCTGTAGGGACCACAAGCCCACCTCCTGAGTGCACAGGTGAGGCATTTCCCATAGTTGTTAAGCAGCAGCAGCATTATACAGCATTTAGAATGCAGCCAGTCACAAGAACCCAGTTAGTCAGCAGGTCTAGAAAACAATACTCACTGAGAAGGGAAGAACAGCATCAAATTCTGACTCAACATAATACTATCCAACTTGAGACAGCAACCGGCATGTCTCCGGGAACAATCCCAGCATGCGTCTGTCCAGCACAGACCCTCTGGCACCATGGCACAGCAGGCTACGCTGGCATCCCATACGGGTGCCAGTCCGAGTCCTGACTGCTCCACTTCCAATCCAGCTCCCTGCTAATGGCCTGGGAAAGCAGCCAAAGATGGCCCAAGTCCTTGAGCGCTCCTGCACCCATATGCAAGATCTGCAAGAAGCTTCAGGCTTCAGATCAGCTCAGTTCTGACCACTGCAGCCATCCGGGCAGTGAACCAGTAGGCTGGAAGGCTCCTCTCTCTCTTCTCTGTACGTCTTTCAAGTAAAAATCAAAACATCTTTCAAAAAAGCAAACAGCAAGGGCAGCTGTCCATGTCCTTCGCTGCAGCCATTGGGAGGGAGGCGTGCTCTGTGGAGCCGTGTGCTGTGTGTGCAAGGAAGCAGGCCAGGCCCAGCATGAGCTGGCCCAGCCCCGCCCACCCGGGGCAAGCCCAGGGCGCCCAGTACCCTGGGCTCAGCTCAGCGGGAGCTCCGTCCAGCATGTGCGACTCCCAGGGTGCTGGGCCTACAGCAGAAGCCAGCACCACCCTCCTCTACTGGCAAAGGCAAGACAGCAAGGGGGCAAGTCGGATCACAAGACTGCGCCACAGAAAACCAAATGCGCAAGGCGCAGGAGCTTGTCTGCTCCGACACAGGCGTGGCGAGATGGGGCTCCTCGCGCTAGAGCAGCCTAGAGGCGTGCCACGTTCCTTGAGGCTTATCTCAAGACATTTGTGGAATCTGCACATTTCCCACTGTCAGCCTTTCTTCCCTGAGCCCACGTCCCAGGTGCCCGAGTTCCCACGATGGTTTACACTGCTGTGTGTCCTGTGTGTGTGTACACATAGTGTGGACAGGCTCAGCAACGTCTCCCACGCCCCTTGCCCTGCCCCATCCTCCACCAGGCCTCAGGCAGCTCAGGGCAGGGCACTCGGGGCTGGCAGCAGGACTGCAGGGAGGCTGTGTCCGAGGAAGGTCGCCCTGGCTGGTGACTCAGGATGTGAACACAGGCAGGTACGGGAAGGAACTGCCCGAGGCACCACAGCGATGCGGCTAGAGAACTCCAGGACCCTCCCTGAAGGCCAGCGCAGCAGGGCCGACTGTGGCCACAAGACGCGGCTGCAGCTTGGGATGCCCACCAGACTCTGCTCCTGCAGATGGCATTTTCATCCCAGAGTATGGGAAAGATGAGACAAGACCTGCCCCCCTACCCCGCCAACACACACACAGAGTACTCACCTCCTCTACGGCGGCAGACTCACACTGTGCGACCACTTACCTAGCTTCATTGCATCTGAGAAGCCTACATACGTTGAGTGAGCCAGCGTCAACTCCGTGCCCGCTTCCCAATGGTCCCAGCAGGTACGTGATGGGAGAATTCCTTCTGTGCTTGTGTGTGTGCATCGTGCAGAGCTCAGAGAGCAAGACTGACGACTGTGAGTTCACAGGCGGAAGGACAGGTGTCCAAGGAGTGAGAACAAGGTGTTCTCCATTAAGACCAAGCAGAGCTCCTGAACTCCAGAGGAGCAGTGCGGTGGGAAGAGCGGGTGCTGGCTGGCAGCACGGCCGGGGAGTGCCTCACCCACGCTGCAGCCCTGGCTCAGGTCCTGCTTGCCCACATCCGATCCAATACCTGCTAGCGCACCTGGGAGGCACTGGATACTCCAGGGATCTGGTCCCCGACCACCACACGGGAGACATGGAGGAAGGTTTTGGTTTGCGTCAGCCTGGCCCAGCCATGGTAGCTGGGCAGTGAACCTGCAAATTAGAGCTGTCATTCTTTCAAATATGTTTTTAAAAATTCTTTTGAAAAAACAAAAATGTTTTGGACCCAGTGTGATGGCCCAGCGGTTGAATCTTCCCCTTGTGTGTGCTGGTTGGTGTCCTGGCTGCTCCACTTCCCACCCAGCTCCGTGCTTGTGGCCTGGGAAAGCAGTCGAGGACGGCCCAAAGCCTTGGAGACCTGGAAGAAGCTCCTGGCTCCTGGCTTTGAATCAGCTCAGCTCTGGCCACCTGGGGAGTGAACCAGCAGAAGGAAGACTTTTGTCGTCCTTCTCTCTGTACATCTATCTTTCAAAAAACAGCTATGAAGTGGGGCTCCTTGAGGCTGAGCCCTCCGGGAGCATCATCAAGCTCTTCCGCCGTGTTAGAAGTAAACCACGCCAGGCGAAGAACGGCTGTTGGCAAGTTACAGCACCTCTGGATTGGGGCATGGCTTAGAAACAGCAACGCCCAGCATGTTTTTATTTCAAATTTCATTAAAACGACTATGTTTCATCTCAGTATTTTATCATACTACTGAAACACTGAATTACTTTCTTATCAGCAGACTTAAATATATCAACCTAATTACAAACTCTAATATGAGCAGCACAAAATATATTACAAATTGTATTTCTTTCTTTTTCTTTAAAAAAAAAAAGTACAGATCTGTACTCTTTCATCCGTGTCTGGTTAGCAAGGTTGGGGTGGCTGTGGTGAGACAGACAGGGACCTGGGGGTGCTCAGCCTGCGTCTCCAAGTCTTCACCCGGGGTGTTCTTTCTGTTTCCCCTGCTGTGTGAGTCAAATACGCTTCCCGGGGAATTCATGGCCATGAAAGCAGCACAGCCACCATCGCACACGCAGCAAGAGCCAGGGTCTCCAGTGGCTCAGGGTGGGAGTCCCCGTGCAGCTGGCAGGAGGCGCTGTCTCCCTACCCTTCTGACACCCCAGGAATGGGCCCCGTGGCAACTTCACTCCTTCATGGAGGTGGGCATGCATGGCACACCAGGGATGGCGGCAGGGCTGGGATGTGCACGGCACTCAGCTGTAGGGCCCAGCCTCCCCTTCAGGAGCAGAACACCCTCTAGCTCCTGGGGTCCTGTCTGGGCACCTGAACTGCAAACCGAGCGGCCTTGAAGACATGCTCAGCCATGAGGGGCTGCCAGGGATGGTGCAGGACGGGGCGACCCCTGGGCCGGGAGAAAGACCGCATCTGAAAGTGCACAGAGCTTGGATGTAAGTGGGGTCCCATGGGGTCTGCAGGTGCATTCTCTGGGTCCACAGAGCAAAGGGGGAAGGGGAGGGAGAGCCTAAGAGGGCAGGCCAGGAGTGAAGGCAGAGTGAGCCGCCAGCTGAGCCAGCAGCAGCAGGCTCGCAGGGCAAGGCAGGCGGACATACAGAGGAGCTGTGGTGCAGACAACCAGCGCCTTTATTGCAGTTACATCAGAGGCGACGCTGGGAACTTCCTGTTAGGAAACAGGTAACCAGAAGATGGAAGAGGCCACATTGCCCAGCTCACAGGCAGAGGGCAGCACGCAGGAGGGTGGCCCCGGCACGGGGGCTAAGAGCACACACAGCAGACGACATACAGACACACCACAACTGGACTGACATGACCGCATGAACTGAAGTACAATGCTGACGGCCATGCAGCAGGGGGCGACGCCCAGGCCCTGCCTCTGGGGAACCTGCACACGCGCGCACACACACACACACACACACACACACACACACACAGTGGGGATGCACACACACAGCAGACCCCTGCGGTAGCCTGGTGGGCAGAACCCTGGTGAGCAGCCCTCCTTGCACCACCAGACCACTCTCTGGCCAGGAGGCTGGCCAGGAAGGACACTTGTGGCTCAGAAGGACAACTCTGAGCGCTTCCTGGAACAGCAAAAATGCAACAAGGTCACGGTGGCATACCTTTGGGTATGTTAAGTTGCTTTAATAACTAAGACACAGAGAGACAGACAGCACCGCGTCGCTGGTCCCTGCACGTTCCTCGCTGTCACCAGTGACTTTCCAGCCCAGGAAACAGACACAGAAAGTGCAGAAACGGCCACTAGAGGGAGACCGTGGAGACGGTGACATGGCAAGGCAGGCCTCCTGCAGTGGACAGGGCAGCATGCTGCGACCACCCGGGCCAAGCGCAGCCGCCCCGACTGCGCCTGCGGGCACACCCCCGATGACATGCTCGCGGCAGGCTGTCCTCGTCCGGGCCTGGCATGAGAATGCCAGGAAGGAAGTACAAAATAATAATAATAAAATAATAATAACAATAGATATTTATAGGCTGTATGCTAGCCAGTTACATTGCAATCTCGGCCGCAAAGCAACCTGAACCGTCAAGTAACTGAGACGCAGTAACAACTAGAATCCAGAGCAAAACGTGAACTAATAACAAAACCAATAATAATAATAATAATAATAATAATTCAACAAGTCATTAGAACAGGAAGCCACACTTGGGGTTTGTGTGTGTCTGCTACGAGTCCTCGCACCAGAAGCCCATTTTCTACAAAAGCTGTGTTGACCCATTACTGGAGTAAGTAAACTGTTGCTTGCATCAATATTAAAGGTTAGGATCATTTCTGTACATGTAAAATTATTGCTTTTTTTGAAAAATATACTTAGCATGCTCGTTCTAATCCATTTCCTGCCTTTATAAAATTTCACAATTAAAAAAAACCTAGTAAAGCTTTTGCAAAAAATTTCACAGAACATCTTTTTCATTCAAGGCAGCAGTAACTTTTGATAATGCATAACATTGCTATGTGCAAAGATCTGAAATTCTCAGAAATGTCACGGCCAGGGGGAGGGCCGCAGGCGTGGGCGGGCCGGGACCGCTGCCCCGAGAACGTGTCTGCATCGCTGAGGAGGAGGTATATAAAGCCGCTGCCCACGGCCGTGCCCGTCCTGCGGGGAGCCGGGCAGGCGGCCACGGGCCCCAGAGCACCAGCACCCAGGGCCCCGGAGCCCCACACGCGCCCCCACATGCCGCCAGCGCGACAGGTGCTGGTCGGGGGACTCAGTGGCTGAACGGCTGGGCGGAACGCAGGCTCTTCCTTCGTGAGCAGTCTGCAGTGTAGCCCTGTTACAAAAATGTCCTGAGAATGAACCGAGCGAGAAGCCGCTTTGTTTTTTCCTTTTGTTAGTGTTCAAGTAGCCCTCACTTCCCGAAGCAGAAGACACACAGCTAGGTCGGTCAGGCACAGCTCGGCGGCCTCGCCCGACACCATGGGTGGTCAGCCAGGACACAGCCTGTGAGCCGCCACCGAGGGATGCTCTCGTCACCGCCCTGGCTCAAGCCCGATTCCCAGGTGCGCCTCCTTCTCTGACCTCCCAGCACACCCACGAGGGAAAGGGACACAGTGGTGGGGACACTGTGGTGGCCTGGTCCCCTCTGCCAGCCCACTGAGCATCAGCAGGGCGCGCCAGCCCACAGATCGGCCGCTCTGCCCAGCACACCACCAGGTCCTCCTTCAGCATCTCCAACCCATCCTGAGCAGCACAGATGCAGGGCTGCCGCTGCACCTGCTGGACCACACCGGTCACAGCCTGTGAACCGGCAAGCCCATGAACCCAGCGGCAGACCCGCCAGCCGGCGAGCACCCGAGGGCCCAGCGGCATCACCACGGGATCCCGGGAGACAGCACTTTCCCTTTCTCTTGGCGTGGACCAGGAAGAGGTGTCGTCCTCAGGTGCCCGCGCTGGCACGTGGCTCCGGGAAGCAGGGATGAGCAGACAGCCGCAGCTCCTCAGCAGGGAAGGGGCGTGTGGGCCGGGGCTGCTCCGACGGGGCCCTGATCTCCGCTCCGAGAGGCACGGTCTTGGCGGACCCCGTGTTATAGCGGTCTGTCCCCTGAGTGAGAAACAACAGGCAGGGTCACTTCTGTGTTTTCCTGACAGTCCCCGCCGCCCGACAGGCCACGCGAGCTGACAGCTGCGGGAGCTCTTGCCACGTTGGGACCGGCCCTGAGGAGGAGGTGAGAAGATGCCACCTGGTAGGGGAGAATACTGCAGCAAATGCACAGATCGCCCGCCGGGCTCGGCCAGCAGAGTTCCGGATACAAGGACTGGGTTGGAAAAGCAGAGGGGGTGTTCTTGAGCGAGTTGTGGGGCGGACACAAGAGCACGCCTGTCATGCCGGAGGCTTGCAGAGACCACGTCTGAGTGATGCTGGCATGTCCCTGGACAACAGCATCCACAGCTCGAGAGCCAGAACCACATACAGGAAGAATCGTATACCACGCTCGCATTCAGTGGATCTCCCACAAGGGTGACCCACTAGGAACCCACACATGTGCACACAGGGAGGCCAGCAAAGACCCCCTGGTTTTAGCTGCATCCAGAGGAACCCCAAGACCAAGAGGAGACAAGGTCTGGCGTCGGGGGCAGGCTTCTCTAGCTAGCCTCTCAACAGACTGCAGTGGCACTGGTCGGCCTAGACACACGACCAAGTCAGGAGACCCAGCGACATGCTGGGGGTGGGGGAGGATGGGCAGCAACACAGCCAACTGATCAACTCAAATGTGGGCAAGGCGGAGGTGGCAAAGGCCCCGCAGTCACCGAGAAGCCAGGGCGTGAGCACCACGGAGGACCCCCTCCATGGGACTGGTGGTTGTCAAGATGCCACACCGCAACCGGGAGCTACGGGCTGGTGCACGGGGCCAGGCCCCAGTGTCTCCAGGAAGCCCTGACGTGCAAGGCGGGCTTACGAGTTGACTCCAAGAGGGAGAGCTCGCTCTGCGAGGGGTGTGTGTCTGCACTGAGGCCCACTGCCACGCACCTGCCAGCTCTGAATCCAAGGAGAGCACACCACTGGCCGGCCGCCCAGCACCGGAGGCCCTGCACAGGGCTCAGAGCACATGCCTCAAACACACAACGGGCTGATGGCTGCTTTGTTTTCTGTTTGTTTTTTGGTTTGGTTTATTTATTTTTATTGGAAAATCTGATTTACAGAGAGAAGGAGACAGAGAAAGATCCTCCATTCTCTGAGTCACTCCCCAAGTGGCCATGACAGCCAGAGCTGAGCCCATCTGGTATAGGAGCCAAGGCTTCTTCTGGGTCTCCCACACGGGTGCAGGGTCTCAAGGCTTTGGGCCATCCTCGACTGCTTTCCCAGGCCACAAGCAGGGAGCTGGATGGAAGTGGAGTAGTCAGGATTAGAACCGGCACCTGTATGGGATCCTAGCACACGCAAGGCAAGGACTTTAGCCACTAGGCTATTGTGTCGGGCCCAAGAGATTGAAGTTTTTAGCTGCCTGGCTCAGAGGGCTTGTGAAACACCTGTTTCGGAAGGACCTGGCAATGCAGATACCCCAAGCAGCTGGATGCTCGGCTGTGCACACAGGCCCCGATGCAATAACGGCAGCCGTGGGCTCGCAGTCTCCTTCCACGAACACCACTTCCAGCACTGCTTCGTGGGTTACTGCTCTAAGTACTCAACACAGCAGCATGAAGGAACAGAATGGGCAGGGAAGGAACCGCACTGCAGCACATCGAGTTAAGCAGCCTGTGACACCCCGTTCAACGCTGGAGCACAGGTCAGCTTCACAGCCCAGCTGCCCCACTTCAATCCAGCGCTTTGCCTATGCAGCTGAGAAAGCAGCAGAAGACAGCCCGGGCCGCATGCTTGCACCCCTGCCACCCAGAGGGGAGCCCTGGACAGGCCCCGGGCTCCTGCGCCAACCCTGGACGGGCCCCGGGCTCCTGCGCCGGCCCTGGACAGGCCCCGGGCTCCTGCGCCGACCCTGGACGGGCCCCGGGCTCCTGCGCCAACCCTGGACGGGCCCCGGGCTCCTGCGCCGGCCCTGGACGGGCCCCGGGCTGCTGGGCCGGCCCTGGCAGCTGCATATTCTCAGGGAATGAACCAGCAGACATAATTTTTCTCTCCCTCTAACTTTCCAAATAAATAATTTTTTTTTAAAAATCCTGGACAAAAAACACTGGCTGACCATGGAAACTCGATCTGCACATGACACACTATGCAGGCACCGAGACCTGCCGGCAGCACCTACAGCCGGGTCCTCTGGACCTGCCGGCGGCACCCAAGCCAAGACGCAGGCAAGCTGGGCTGCCGCTCGCATCTTCGTTTCCTGCTGTTCTGGTGAATAAAATTATTCCTCCAGCGTCACTTTTTCAGAAGTCACACCCAGAATGATGAGAAATCAACTATTACGCACGGTACTGGCCTCTGGCTAGGGAGCTTAACAAGCCAGTCACTGAGGCCCAGGAAGGGGCTTTCAATAATTATCTAACATGGGACGTTTAACAAGCTAATAGAAAAAAACAAACAGCAACAATTCCAAACACCCACAGCACGGGAACGGCCGCACTTCAGCATACTATTCTTAAAAAGCATCCAAGCGAGCGGACGGCACACAACTGCCGGCTCCCTGCACAGCCTGGTCTTCCCGTGTCCTCCAAGGGCCCAGTAGACCCTGGGATTAAGCAGGCACAAGGGTGGGAGAGCCCAGTGTTGGCCCACTCCTGCAACCCAGCACCCACTGCACACGTGAGCAGGCGTCCACTGACTCACTGCATCAAGTGGAGCACTTGACCCAGAGCCAGCCCCCCCCCAGCAGAGTCTGACTCATCTGCTCAAGCCGGACACTCACAAACGCTGCACACGACAGCTACACACGAGGTTGAAAGGGCGACCGAATGTGCCCTGAGGACCTGGACCACCTGGGTTAAACGACGCAGCAGAGCGGCTGGGAGCTGCTGTCACCACCTAGAGGCCTGGATGCTCCACGTCCAATCCAGTTCCTTGCTAATGCACCTGGGAAAGCAGCTGTGGACGGCCCAAGGGCCCGGCTCCCTAAACCCACATGGGAGACCTGCATGAGGCTCCTGTGCCCGGGACGTGCTCCTCAGACACGCCGCCTGACAGTGGGGGGTGGGAGGAGTGCCAAGCACTGCAGGCTGACCTGTGCTCCAGCGTTGGACCGGGTGTCACAGGCTGCTTAACTCGATGCGCTGCAGTGCGGTTCCTTCCCTGCCCATTCTGTTCCTTCATGCGGTTCCCGAAGCCGTCCAGCAGACTGCCCGCTCAGGGACATCCGCACCCCTCCTCCCCGCAGCACGGGTGCCGTCGGAGGCTGGGGTCCTGAACACAGGTGGTGCCAATGTCCTTGCCCCACGAGCCAACAGGACACTCTCCGGGGAGCAGGCAGGGGGTCCCACAGGTCACAGGTCCACCCCAGAGCTGAAGGCACCTTCTACCAGCTCCCAGGGCAACGTGAGCCCCACACAGGGCCAAGGGTTCAGTGACGCTTTCTGCCTGGGCCTCCTCTAACCCCTACTCCAACAAACACGCTGACCACGCAGCCAGGGTCCCTGCAGCCACTGCGAGGCAGGGCGCAGCCCAGGCACAGCCGGGCCATCTCTGGGTAATCCCCAGTGAAACGCATCAGCAGTGTGACTCCCCCAAGGCTGCACAGCGTACAGCGACCGTTTCTGCCACCAGGAGTCTCACAGGAATGAGCTGGCACGACAGGGTAGGCTGTCAGCATGGTTCCCACACCTCTGACTCCCGGGGCATGGAAACGGGCTGCGGCCTGGGACTCTGCCTCACAGTGGCAAGGAAGCCACCTGGGTAGGGACAGACTGGCAGAACCAGACCGTGGGGAGGAGTGCCAAGTGCTGGGATGGTGAGGGCCAGGAGCTCTGCCACACCAGGCAGCCCTAATGCTCGTCCCTGGTACACACACTGACAGGTGCAGCTGACGCAGCCAGGCCAGCCATGGTGTCCTGGAAGTCACCGCATGTGCCTGCCTCGTGCCTGCCACGCCGCACTGCTCATGCTGCCATGGCCTTACGCTTCAGGGCTCCCCCGCGGGGTCCAGAGCAGAGTCAGGATCAAAGACGCACAGGATCACACACTCAGGGAAACATGCCGTGACCTCAGTGACCATCAGACACAGCCCTGTGCCCCACGGGACCTCTGACTCTGGTGGTGTGGAGGGGGGCAGGTGCAGGCGTGAGAACCCCCAGTGTCAGCCACACCTACTGCGGGAGCTCAAGGGATGGGGCTCACAGAGCAGCAGCTAGCGCTCAAGGCCCACCAGATGGGCACACAGGTGGGCACAGCCAGCTGGCCGGGGCAGGGGAGGCCACTTCACTGTCACATGCTCCATGGGGCATGGTCCTTGCATACTCAGCCTGCCTCGGGATGGCAGACCTGACAGAATTGGGGGCCGTAAGCAATGAGACCTCATCCCACCGCACTTGTAGCTGGGCCCACACAGGTGCCCCAGTGCTTCTCAGGCAGCTGCCCAGAGCATGGCCACAATGCACTGGCTCAGGGCTCAGCCTCATGGGGTCCCCGGAGGGCTGGTGAGGTGGAGGGGCCCTGCAGAACACTGCCTTCCATCCCGTGGGGTCTGTGGCCGGCCCAGCACTGCCCCATGGGGTCCAAGCCCTGTGGGGCCCAGGGATGGCCTAGCACTGCCCCGTGGGGTCCGGAACAGGTGCCCCATGGGGTCCAAGTTGACCAGCACTGCCCCGTGGGGTCTGAGGCTGGCCCCGCACTGCCCCGAGGGGTCCAAGCAGGCCCTGCACTGCCCCAAGGGGTCCAAGCAGGCCCAGCACTGTCCCGAGGGTCCAAGCACCCAGCACTGCCGGGTGGGGTCTGAGGCCGGCCAAGAGCCGGTTACACCGAGGGGTCCGAGGGGTTCTCTGCCCCTGGGAGCCTGCTTCCACTCCTTGTCTAATAGCACCTGCCCATAGCCTCTCTCACTAGTTACTGGGCAGGCGGTGTGGCCTCCTGGCTCAAGCCGGCCAGCAATCCCTCCCTCCCTTCCCGCCACCCGACCCCAACCCCCAGGGGCAGGTGGCTCCCAGGAGTGGCGGTACCTGTGTGCGCCCGCATGTGGGCCCTGAGGTGGCCGGGCTGGAGGAAGCTCTTCCCGCACTCGGCACAGATGAAGTCTCCGGGGCGCGGCTGTGACCGGAGCGTCCCTGAGGTGACGGTGACAGTGGTGGGTGGCAGCGCAGAGGTGAGGCGGCGGGGGCGAGAGGAAGACACCGTTAGTTTGCCTGCTGAGTCACCGTACCAGGCCACCCCCAGGCCCTGGCGACAGGTGTCCGGCCAGGCACACTCAGGCCTGTGAGGATGTGAAACCGCAGCAAATTAATTCACTCCCGGACTGTGAGCAGCTGCCCTTGCCAGGCAAATCAAATGACACGTGACGGCAACTGGCACGTGGAGTGACAGTGAGTACAGCAGCCTTCCACTGAGCACCAGCTGCCCTGGCTGCTCTGCCCACGGCCTGGCCTGGACCCAGGACACCTGAGACCAGCCCACTAGGCGACGGGCCACAGCGGCAACCCCCGGCGGGCAGCAGCAGGAGGGTAGCCAGCCCAGTTTCTCTGAAGGCCGCTTCCCTCACCAAAAGCCCAGCCCTAGGCTACGCATACCACCAAGGCCAGACGGGCAGGGAATGGACGCAGAGATCAGAAACGCAGGCCTGGGCCGCATGCCAGCTCGGAGCCTTCCCCTTCTCACACCTCATCAGAACCACGGCCCATCGACCTCAGTGATTCTTGGGGCCATGGTTCACACCTGTCCACACTGATGGTGCGCTAAGGTCAATGGAGGAACGCCCACAGGGTCTGAGCAAGCCACCCCCGGGAGCTCCCACTCAACGGCCCCCCAGATGGCCACGCTGCAGCGCTTAAAGGATGAGCGCCCAGTGTGAGGGGACACAAGGACTGACTGGACCCTGAGCCACAGCCTGGCCTGCCCAGCAAGGCCTCCAGGCAGGAGCACAGGACAAGCAGGAGTGGACACGCAGCCCCGACCACGGCAAAGCGCATGGTGTGCTGCAGACCCATGGGGACACCTTCGCTTCCCCAGGTTTCAGCAGGGGCAGTGTTTCAGGGGCCTGCGAACTGGGGCGGGGGGGGGGGGGCGTGATGCCAAAAGCACAGGCAGTGAAAGCACAACTAGGCAATGTGATGGCAGGAATACCAGCGGGGCGATGACAGGCTCTGCACCTGAGGGGCGCACAGCCACAATGCACACGCCGCTATGACTTCCAGCCCAGGATGTGCTCTGAGAGAACCCTAACCTCGCCACGCCCCTCCTGGCGCAGGGACCACGCTGGCCGTGTGCTGAGTGGGGACCCTAACCCCAACACCCCTCCTGGCACAGGGACCACGCTGGCAGTGTGCTGAGTGGGGACCCTAACCCCAACATCCTCCTGGCACAGGGACCACGCTGGCCGTGTGCTGAGTGGGGACCCTAACCCCAACATCCTCCTGGCGCAGGGACCACGCTGGCTGTGTGCTGAGTGGGGACCCCAGCCCTGCGTCTCCCACCTCTGGCACAGTGACCACGCTGGCTGTGTCCATTACACAGCTCTACTTGTAAGGACTATCTTACCGCTGCTTCCGGTCACCTGTTAACCTCCTTGTAGAAACCAGCATGCACAGCCAGGTGCACACACAGAGCAGTTTCCTGTCCGTTTTACACATCAGCTCTTTGCTCACTGGGGATGACGCCCCTCCTACTGCAAACGCCAAGCTGGTCAGCAGGTCACTGGCTCCGCGGGAGCCGGAGTCGCCATGGTGAGCAGAGGGCTCTCCCTTGCTGCTGGAACCGGAGCTTCCTGCAGAGAGGGCCCATGAGGCCCGTCGGCTGGCCCCACCTGCTGCACGTCCCACAGGGCAGGAGGCTGAAGGATGCCACACACAGCAAACTCCTCACTGCAGGAGGGCACCCTTGGTGTGCACGACCAAGGTCCTCTGAGGAAAACCTCGCACTTCATCTGTTCTAGAACTATCACTCCCCACACACTTCACAGCCGATGTCCCCATGGCGTCTGCCGGGCGGCAGGGACTGGGGACACAGAGAGCCTGAGACACGCCAAGACCCTTGCCCCCAAGCACGTGGCTGGCAGTCTCAGCTGCCTCCTCAGGGGGAGTATGTGAAGGGCCCTCCAGGGCCTTCTTCTTCGCCCAATAGTTTCCAGAAGCTTCCTTCCTAGACACACCGGCCAGCTGACACAGGTGGGCAGAATTCCCATGAAGTGACCTTCCCAGCAGCTCGTGGCGACCTTCTGCCTGGAAGCCCACAGGTCAAGCACCACGGTCACCTCCCACGCACAGTGGACAGCTGACTGCCCCAAGGCACAGCGTGGCTGCCCCTGGCCCCAGGGTTCTGAGCCAGCAGCGGCCCCTCTGCCCTGCAGGCGGTCCCAGCGAGAGGCGCACCGCACACATGGGACGCATCTACAAGGCACAGGACAATCCACGTGACACTGGCTGAGGGTGAACACTTCAGGCTGGTAGTGTCAGCTTTCAAAGGACTGCAAGGAAACAGAGCAGCTATGCCTCGGCCGGCTCAGGTCCTCACGTGCCCAGCCACAGTGGGGTGGCCGCAGCAAGACAAGGGCAGCCTCCCGGGCATGGACACAAATCTCGACGGCAGCGAGACCACAGCCAGTCAGGGACAACCCTTGGCAAACGTCACAAACATGCCACGCCAGGAGACAGACAGCCAAGCAGGAGAGGTACCTCATGATGGCCAGGGATGCCCACATGATGGCCAGGCATGGTCCCCGCGGCCAGCCATGCCAGCCCACATGGAGAAGATCAGAGGCAAAAGCCCTGGCACTGGGCCTGGCAGCATGGCCTAGCGGCTTAAGTCCTCGCCTTGAACGCGCAAGGATCCCATATGGGCACCAGTTCTAATCCTGGCAGCTCCACTTCCCATCCAGCTCCCTGCTTGTGGCCTGGGAAAGCAGTCGAGGACGGCCCAAAGCCTTGAGACCCTATACCCATGTGTGATACCCAGAAGTTCCTGGCTCCTGGCTTCAATCGGCATAGCATCAGCCGTTGCGCTCACGTGGGGAGTGAAACATCAGACAGAAGATCTTCCTCTCTGTCTCTCCTCTCTGTATATCTGACTTTCCAATAAATAAATTAAATCTTAAAAAAAAAAAAAAAAGCCCTGGCACTGCTCAGCCCAGGCCTGAGACTCCCACACTGCACCCAACAAGAGCGCGAAGCCACGGCCAGCCACGCTGCACCCTGGAAGAGGGGTCAGCATCTGTTATGCAGGATCGGTGAACCCCACCCCCTCTCGACACAGCAGCAGCTCTGAGGACCCCAGGAAAGTACCGGGTCACGGACGAGGCGGACGGCTCCAACTTCATTCTGTCCTGGGACGTTCTCAAAAGCTTCACATTTCTACTTCCTTGGGGCGGTCAAGGCCAGACACAGGCCCTGGGTGGAGCGCGTGGTCACAGGTGCATGACGGAGCTCCTGTCTCCAGATACACGGTCCCAGCACAGCACACAGCTCCCTCGGTGACACCAAGCATCTACGACAACGGCGAGCCACACTGCCCACCTGTCAGAAGGCCTGGGGTCAGCCCTGTCCAAAGGCCAACTGTGTGCTTGTGTCAGCTTCCAGGCCCACACAGGCAAGCGAGCATTCGGCCTGCCCCAGGGCATCGAGGCCAGCCCCCCACACAGTGCATGCCACGCAGCTCCTCAGCTCCCTGGGGCAGAGTCCACTGTGACCGCACAGCGCAGGGCACCTGGGGCCGTTCCTGCTCATAAAGCCCTGACCACAGACATCACCACATGCCACCACGGCTCCGGAGCTAAAGCTGCACAGCCACAGGGAGCTGGGTGGTGGCCCCAGCGACCAGCACAGGACAACGAGTTTCCTCTCGAAGGACACAGGACCTGTCAGCCCTGAACAGCACCCCTCAGGCTGGTGAAACGACCCCCGGCCATCGAAGCCACTCCCCATGAAACCCACTGCAGGACAAGGCAGGTCCGTGACAGGCAGCTCCCCCGAAGGCCGAGACTGCCAGGAACGAGACAGAGTCGCATGGACCACACACAGGTCCATGGGCTCGGGGGGGGAGTGGCTGCTGATGCCACTGTGCCCTGCGCATCTGCCCAGCAGGGCACACTCTTCCCCACCAGGCAGACATCCCTCCTGTGAAAATCCAAAACCCCAAACACTCCACAATCCAGCACTTCCTCGCACTGACCCCGCAGGCAGCCAAGGCAAGCCTGCCCTCAGCGGGGCCGTGAGCACCAACCCGGGCTCACAGGGAACCCCACCTCCACGGGGCGTGGAATGACCCCAAAGCACGCCGGGAACAGGACACATTCTGTGTCCCCTAGGCATCCCATCACATCCGTGCAGATACGGCAAAAATTCCAGAGCCACGGCACTGGGCGATGGGACAAGGGGCCAGGAGCTGCAGCGGAACCCCCGTTTCCTGCTGGGGTGTGAGCAGGCACAAAGGATACAACGTGGTGTGGGTCCCCAGGCCTCGGGAGCACTGGTCACGCACGTGCGTTCCCGCCCTCAGAGACCTGGCGTCTGTTGACGGATCAACACGACCAAGTACGGAGCTGCCCGCTTCCAAGAAGTGTCAGCCATCCCTCGACACCCTGGCCTGTCCTCCCAGGCCAGCAGTGCAGCCCCTGTGGGCCCAGGCACACAGCAGGATCCCGGGGCGGCTCAGCTGCCCACGTCCTCCAGCCCCACCATGATGAGGGCGGACAGTGCTCTGCCAGAGATGGAGAGGCGCCAACCTTGCCCACCCCCTGGGCCCCAGCAGGTGGGGGGTGAGGCCCTGCCCTTGGCCACGGCTTACCTCTGTGCTCCGGCCCGGGGCCGCCGGCACCCCAGCCCTGGCAGAGAGTGGCCAAGTCCTTTGGAATGGAGGGCTTCACGAGCTTGAGGACGTCCAGGTGCGTCTCGGGGCCCTCGGTGGCCGGCTCCTGCTGGACGGCGTGCAGGCCGGAGGGCGCCCCGGCCACCCCAGGCGGGGACTGCGGGGCCGTGTCCCCTCGGGAAGCCGGGGCACAATTGGCCAGCGTCCTCAACTCCTGGGCAGCCTTGAGAGAGGGCTCACAGGGAGGTAGAGAAGGGCCTCCTTCGGCGTCCATGGGCAGCTGGCCCTGACCCTGAGGGCTGCACTTGGCTTTCAAGGGCTCAGGGCCCGTGTGCTTACTTGGGGACGGCCCAGACTTCTCCAGTGGCTTGCTGCTGGCCGGAGGCTGGGGGCCCACTCGGGTGATGACGGTGGGGGTGGCGCTTCTGCTGAAGCCCCCACTGCCACCACCAGGGACAGGCGCCGCTCTGGAGCCGGCCTCCAGCCTGGCTTTCGGCAGGGGCGGCTCCTGGCCATGGCCAGGTTTGGGCTGTCGGCAGCCGTCAGTACCAGATGCCCACGAGGCACACGGGCTGCTGGCGGCGCCCTCCTTGCCCCTGGGCAGGCTGGCTGCTCTGGTGCCTGCAGCCAGGGGGGCAGAACTACCACCTTTGGAGCCTGGAGCCCCGCCTGGCACCTGGGTGCGGGTGAAGCGGGCCAGGAGCAGGGGCTGGCACTCCTTGCCGCCCAGGGCGGGCGGGGGCCCGGTGCGCCCACTCCGGGGCAGAAACGCCAGGTTGCTCCTCACACCGCGGGGGCCGTTGGGCTGGGTCCACTGCGGCGCCATGGAGCTGCAGCTGACCCGGTGCCAGATGCGCGTGTGCACCCACAGGACTTCCGGGTAGTAGGTCTTGTGGTCGCAGTAAGGACACGGGTGAATGACGAGCGACGCCTGCAAGGACGAGGCCGCCTCCTTCTTGCTGGGGTCGGCCCGGCTCGACCTGGCACTCAGGTCCAGCGGCAGCAGGTCTGCGGCCGGCGCCCTTCTTCCTCCCACGGGGAGCTCTCCGCGGGGACCGTCCACAGGCTTTTCCCTAGGGTGGCCCGCACGGCCCTCCGGCGAGAGCGGCGGGGCAGCTCCGTCCACACCCGGAGCAGGGTCCCCGGCAGCGCCAGCACCAGCGTGAGTCGCTGACCTTCTGGAGTCGGCAGCAGGCCGGCACGGCTCAGGCCTCGTGGACGTCTCTCTACCGTGGCTGTCCAGTGCGCTCCGGCCTGTGGACGCGCTAGCCTCTCTCTCGGACGGGCTGGCTCTGAGGGTGCGAGCCGGGTCCCCGTTGGAGAGCACAGAGGACGCCACCTCGTCAGGAAAGCAGCAGCCGCGCGGCTGTCCCCCTGGAGGAGGCAAAACGTGAGAGGGGAAGTTACCATGGTTCAGCGGGAGGGCCAGACGTGGTGGGGATGAGGGGGCTGACAGGTGCAGAGGCCCAAGGCCAGGTGCACCCGGTACCCAAGCTGGGTCTCCGGTGACACAGGCCAGCCTGGGGAGCAGCTGGGATCAGCAACCCTGGACCAAGGCCACCCAGTGAGGGCAGGACTAGGCCTCAGTGGGCAGGGAGGAGGAAAGCGGCCACACGACAGCTGTCGGCCATACTCGTGCAGAGCCAGTGGACGGACGAGGAGGCAGGCCCCCAGGGTAGGCATGGCAGCTGCTCCTGGCCCCACTGCTGGGAGCAGAAGCTGCCACTGGCAGGGAATCCCTGTGGTTGTACCCCGCCAGCACGCAGGCCCGAGAGGCCAGCATGGGACCGGCTGGGGCCATCCCATCACACACAGGATGGCCGGAGCTGAGGGATGGCAGAGCTGGACAAAGGACAACCCAGCTGCCCGCCTGCCCCCCCCCGGTGGGGGTGAGGGCGTCCCTGTACACGGGAGCTCCAGCCAGCTGTGGGCTCCGCGATCCTCACGGGGCTCAGGAACTTTCTGGTAACACGAGATCAGGGGACACAAAGCCAAAGCTGGGGACCCCCTCAGGTATGGCCAAGCCGAAGGTGCCACAGCCGCAGCAGCCACCGTCCCTCCCCTTAGCTGTGGACGGCCGGGCCTGGCAGACGCAATGTTCCAGGCCTTCGTGGCTCCTGGTAGTGGATCCCTCCTGCTAAAACCTGAGAGATCGCCTGGCCGCAGAAGACACGACAGGGCTAAAGCCGACGGCCCCGGTACCAGCTCACAGCCGCACTCCCAGCGTGGCCGTGCACGACGCTCAGCTCCCCAGCGCAGCCTCATACACTGCACCACCCACACCCCGGGGCCCACGCATGGCAGCGCAGGATGGGGACCAAGTGCACACACTGTGACTCCCCACCAGGCCACCAGTGACGGAGGCGTGGGGACCACCGACCATCAGTCACCCGATGCCAGCCTGGTGCGGGCTACCCCAGCACAAGGACAAGCAAAACAACACACTCCCTAAACGGTTCAACTGCAAAGGAAATGTCACAGCAAGGATGAGGCTTGCCAGCCACCACCCAGTACCCAGGGCTCCAGAGGAGCCACCCGGCTCAGAACCTGTGTCCCCGAGCTCCCCAAGTACAAAGCTGAGTCGCCTGGGTTCGTCCCTGTTCCCCCAATGGCTAGCCGCACACAGCACCAAGCTCCAGCTACGGCAGGAAGCCCCTCTCATGGCTGAAGCCCAGGTGTGCTGCTGACCCCACAGGGCAATGCTCAGCTATTCCACCTGCTGGGGACCCTTCGGCCATACCTGAGGGGGTCCCCAGCACCTGCCAGCTCCGTTTCACCGCCATTCCTTGATGTTTCTTTGATGGGAAGAGTCCCAGCGTCCCGGGGCCCCACTGCCCCACCTGTGGCTTCTCCCACTGAATCACGATGGTGTTCTCTGCAGCCCAGAGCAGGCGCAGTCTAGTTGGCACCACTGAATAGGCTCCAAAGTGGCAATGGTGCCACGTGGCATTCTCCAAAAACATTACAAAGAAACTATAGCAGCCTGTCTTAGGGCTCCAGGTGTGGGGTGGCACCTGCAAACACTGGCCATCCCCACCCTGCCCTCCTGAACTCAGGCCCAGGCCGCCGGAGCCATGTGTGGGCATGGCCACTAGATGGCGCCGGTGCCCAAGTATGGCCCTTTCCTCCCAGGCCAGAGTGATGAGGCCCACTGCCCCATGCTGCCCATCATCTAAAACCTCCTCTTCCATTGGTCCACGTGGTTGGTCGCACAAGGCATGGACTGCCTGCAGCAGAAGCCAGCACCCCCAACAGCTGGCCCTGAGGCCGTGGACGCTGTCCCAAGGCTGGGCCTTGCTGAACCCACAGCGGGGGTAGGGCGGGCAGTGCCCAGGGAGGCTCCTCGTGCGGAGTACATGGTGGACGAGTGTCTCCTACACTCCCACCTCGGCCAGCAAGGGCAGCAAGGAAGGGGATTACGGGCAACAGAATGAGAGAGGAGGGTCCGGCGAGATAGCATAGTGGTTAAGGTCCTTGCCTTGAATGCACCGGGATCCCATATGGGCGCCGGTTCTAATCCCAGCAGTTCCACTTCTCATCCAGCTCCCTGCTTGTGGCCTGGGAAAGCAGTCGAGGACGGCCCAGAGCACTGGGACCCTGCACCCACGTGGGAGACCTGGAAAGAAGTTCCTGGCTCCTGACTAGATCGGCACAGCACTGGCCATTGCGCTCACTTGGGGAATAAATCATGGGACAGAAGATCTTCCTCTCTGTCTCTCCTCCTCTCTGCCTTTCCAATTAAAAAAAAAAGAAAAGAAAGAAAGAAAGAATGAGAGAGGAGCAGAGAAGGGCAGTTCAGGGGACAAACTTGGGAGCCAGGGCACGTGGGCAGCGTCCCCTGCACAAGGACTCCCTTGTTGGGCTGTTTCCAGAGCCCCCCGTGTCACACAGCACAATCCCACGGTGTGAGGGGGCAGGGCATGGCGTCAGCACAGGGGACCCCCGCATCGGACCGCTCCAGTGTCCACACCGGGCTCCACCACAGTCCACCACGTGTAATACAAGCAAGTCCGCTTCTGAAAACAAGCTTGCAACCTCATCTTCACTGGGCAGGGGTGTGTATGTCTGCTGAGCGCACGGCCACAGCTGCTAGGAGGGCCAAGCAGAAGCCCGGGGCAGCCCTGGCAAGCTGGTCCAGCCAAGGCATCCGCAGCACAGCCTGGCCTCACACGAATGTCACCCGGGGCTCCCTGCTGCAGGCCCCGTGCCTTGCCTCCCGGCACACCCAGGGCTCCAGTTCTGTTCCTCCTCTAAGCTTGTGTCCAACGCAGTCCACTGAGGTGAACAGCCAAGGACTGGAGCCTCACCCAGTGCCCAGAGCGTTGCTGGCCACCGGCTCACCCCCAGTTCCCAGGAGGCGGCAGAGTGCCCAGCCCTCACCAGCCAGGCAGGAGTCAGGAGGCTGAGCCCAGTCTCATTCAAAGTTGTCTCCATAAGACTCCATAGGAGCCCACCTCCCCAAAGGAGGTGCTGCTGGGGACCCCACCAGGCCAGGGTGTCGAGTGTGCAGGGCAGTGCCTGCAGCCAGCTCCTCCCGGTCCTCGCTGCACCCCCAGGAGGGGACAGGGACAGGTGGTCCACTCCGAAACCACACAACGAACATGGACGCTAGCTCCTGCTACCAGGACAAGTGTCAGCAGCAAACACGCATGCCCGACACCTCCCAGGCCTCCCAGCCAAAATCCCCTTCAGTCCCTGACCCGCGCTGCCTTTAGCCCAACGCTGGGTCCCAGTGTCCACACGGCACACACAGGCCCCGCTCCTGCCAAGTGGGTCAGCAGCTGCTGTCCATAAAACTGGAGAACCCACATGCGCTCTGGCCACACGGCTGCTGCACCCAGCTGTCCCCCAGGACACTGTACTCTGTCACTCCTACCCAAACACAGGTCACATGCAGAAACTGACACACGTGTACCCACAAGTGTGCAGAAACAGCTGCAGCCAGGAAGGCACGCGCTCATACCCAAGCTGCACTTCTGTGTGTACAACCATCAGTGTAGACGGCCACATGTGTGGGGCCAGCTGTGTACATGGTCACGTGTGTACAACCATCAGTGTAGACGGCCACATGTGTGGGGCCAGCCGTGTACACGATCACGTGTGTGCAGTCACCAGTGTAGACGGCCACATGTGTGGGGCCAGCTGTGTACACGATCACGTGTGTGCAGTCACCAGTGTAGACGGCCACATGTGTGGGGCCAGCCATGCACACGATCACGTGTGTGCAGTCACCAGTGTAGACGGCCACATGTGTGGGGCCAGCTGTGTACATGGTCACGTGTGTGTAGTCACCAGTGTAGACGGCCACATGTGTGGGGCCAGCCGTGCACACGGTCACATGTGTGCAGTCACCAGTGTACAGGGCCACATGTGTGGGGCCAGCCGTGCACACAGTCACATGTGTGCAGTCACCAGTGTAGACAGCCACATGCAGACATGACTGTGTACACGGTCACGTGTGTAACCAGCTGTATATTCTGTCATGTGTGGACTGTAGTCACACGTGTAGAGCTAGCTGTGTACATGGTCACGTGTGTGGAACCAACCATGTACAGTCATGTGTGTGAATGACCATGTAGTTATGTGTGAAATCAGCCTTGCATGTGGTCATGTGTGCAGAACCAGCAGTCATGTACAGTCGTGTGTGGCCGACTATATGCAGTCACACAAGTGCAACACGGCCGCTGTGTGTGCAGTCACGTGAGCTTCCATCCGTGGACACACCACACTGGTGCAGATGTCCCCAGCACTCCCGCCCTCTCCCACAACACCTAGAGGTGACAGCCGCGGGAGACACACCTCGGGAGAGGAGGGCACGGCTGCATCACCTCCCCGTTCTCAGCGAGCAGTCACCTGGGCACCACAAGATGAACAACCAGGATGGTTTCAGCAACCGCTTCCTTGGAGGTCATCGCTCCAGCCCCCTGATGCCACCAGCCCCCTGACGTCACCACCCCAAAAGTCATCACCCCAGCCCTCTGACGTCACCAGCCCCCTGACGTCACCAGCCCCAAGCCCCAGAAGTCATCGCCCCAGCCCTCTGAAGTCACCACCCTGACATCATTACCCCAGAACCCCCTGGAGTCATCTAGGCTCTGTCCTCTTTCTGTGTGTCTGAGAATGATCCGGTGGCACAGGACTCGACACAGGCCTGCCCTCCTGTTAGCCAGTGATGAGCCAGTTCCCTCCCAACCCCTGCCACCCAACACCACACACTGGAGCCAAAGGTGGCAGGCAAGGGCTGAGGGAGGGCACCAGTCCCGCCCCTCACCAGGAAACCCAGGCTGAGTGCCCAGGCCCAGGTGTGGTCAGGGTCCGGGCAGAGAACCAACTCACTGTCACTCAAAGGACTGAATACACACGCTTATCACTCC